AACATACTACACAAAACATTGTTCCACCTCCTACTTTGGTGAGTATTGACTGGGATCTTAAAAGCTTGCAAGCAGCCATCTAGATGCAACAATGGGTCTCTCCTCATCCAGAGCAAAGAAAAATGAAGAAAACCAAAGATTCACAGAAACAATTAGTCCAAGTGACTGGTACACTATGCCATCTTCAGCCAATATGACTATGAGACCAGAAGAACTACATGGTGACCAGCTACCACCATCAACCACTCAGAGGGGGATCTATGTAGGAGATCCTGGATAGAGAGGGAGAACAATGTGGAACAAAACCTAAAAATCATTTGGGGGGGGGAGAAAAAGGAGGGGATCAGGTTTGCTGGTCTGATAGAGCCTGGTGGATCCCGAGAGTATGGCCCCTAGCTGTCCTTCCGGTCTGGAATGGAACCAAACCTATGGCCTCTAGCCGAACAAAAGACAGGCATATGAGTTGAACATTTACCTGAGGTAGATATACTCTGTGGAGAGAACAATTATGGGAGAAAGAAAGGCTATTTATGCACAAGGAGACAGCTCAAGGGGCAGGAGTGCATGGAGGGATGGACACAGAGAAGAGGTAACTATTGGGAGGAAGTGGGAGAGGAGCTGTTACATTGTGGTAAATTGTCGTAAATGTCATGAGACAAAGTGTATGTGAACTGCTGTATGTAAAGTGAATTTGCTCTGTAAATTTTCACCCAAATCACAATTAAAAAAAAAAAACCTGAAATCATTTGGGAAAAAAAAAGGGTAGTGGTGGGGAGGACCAGGTTTGCTGGTCTGATAGAGCCTGGCAGCACCACTGAGACTATGGTCCCTAGCTGCCCTTCAGGTCTGGAAATAAAACCACATCTGTGGCTTCCAGGCAAACAAGACAGGCATGTGAGTTGAACATTTACCTAAGGTAGATACACTCCCTGGAGAGAACAATCATGGGAGAAAGAAAGGCTGTTTATGCACAGGGAGACAGCTCAGGGAGCAGGAATGCATGGAGGGATGGATACAGGGAAGAGACAACTATCAGGAGGAAGGGGAGGGAAACTGTTGGATTGTGGGAAATTGTAGTCAATGTCATGAGACAAAGTGTATGTGAACTGCTGTATGGAAAGTGAATTTGCTCCGTAAACTTTCACCCAAATCACAATAAAAAAATATATAAATAAATAAACAATAAAGATTTACAGCCTCAGAATCCTAATGGTGGTCCCTATGAGTTAGAATCTACTTGATGGCAATGAGTTTGGTTTTTGGTTTATATATAGGAAAATAAACTCTGGTGGTATAGTGCATAAGGCATTTGACCGCTAACCACAAGTTTGATGGTTCAAACCCACCAGCCACTCTGCAGAAGGAAGATACAGCAATCTACTTCTGTAAAGATTTACCCCCTTGGAAACACAATGAAAGTCTCTAAGAGTTGGAATTGACTCAATGGCAGTGAGTTTGGTTTTCTTATATATATATACTGTTTTATCTATTTTTAACATCCACAAAAATCATACCATGTATGATTTTTATCATATATATTTATAATACATGATATATATATATGTTGTTGTTGTTGTTGTTATGTGCCATTGAGTCGGATATGACTCACAGCTACCCCTCCCCTTGGGTTTCTGAGGCGGTATCATTATGGAAGTAGACTGCCCAACCTTCCTTCCAAGGAGTGGCTGGTGAGTTTGAACTGCCAGCCTTCTGGTTAGCAGTCAAGTCCCTCAGGCACTACGCTAATATTTTATGTATCATATATATTATTAGCCTTACAGCCTTATGGTATCCTACCTATGCTTGCTATTACTGAGAACAATTTCTTGGAGAACCTTATTCCTCAACAATGACAGAAAGACCAACTTCACGACCATATTCTTGGTCATTCTGCTCACCTGTGTGTGGCTGGTCTCCTGGTACAGTTCCTATGACAACCTCTCTCTGGTAACATGAGCAGGACTTCCTGGAGCAACCTGTAAGCCCTGATCATGCCCTTCAATAAGGAGCCATTTCATAGTTACCTGGTACACAGGGCTGGGGGTTGCAGTCACCAATTTGGGTTTCATTTCCTTGCTAGTTTCTTCATCTGAAGAGGATCCCGAATGATAATCAGAGGTAACCTTATCAAGGGCCCTTGTAACTTTCTTTGAGATCTCATCCTTGTTTTCATCTTCATGTTCAAAGCTGGCAACAATGAAGGCATTGTTTTTCTCTCCATACCTAAGAATGAAATAAAATACTAAGAAACCTTTAAGTTACATCAAAAGAGCAAAAAATACCTGTAAAAACAATTAAATAGGTCTGGACATGCCATCAGCCTGACGCAAAGAAGGAGCCCTACCAGAATTTGACCCTACATTTTTAATACCCTAAACCCACCTCCACACACGCCAGCAAACAAGCTACATTTTCTCTGGCTGGTCTATTTAAGGCCAAATAAAAGTGACCCATTCTCTTTACAAACTGTCTTTCTATTCTACTGCCTCCTAACAAAAACAATTATTTAAGACATCAAAGACAAAGTAATTGTTTTGATTTCATTTTTGTATGTCCCATTGATAATGATTTTACAGTAAAATTCTCTAATATATTTTAAACTAGCCCCGAATATATATCCTAGTAACTCAGATCACAAATCAACTAGACATTTCTTATAGTATTTACTTTTACCAAAATTAAATGAAAAAGAAGCTTGTGTTTTCTTCATCCATACTGACAAAAATGAGAATTGAAACAATTATTGAGATTAAAGGGCAAGAAAAACTATTTCTGAGTACAATAAAAATGTTTTGCTTAAGCTACATTTCCTATCTCTTAGAGATTCTTAAGATAACTGCTCACCTCTCAAATGTTTTTTAAAAAAAAGCGACCAAGGTTTGTTTATTCTTTCAAATCATTTTGAAACCCTGATATAAGAAGAATAATTTTTAAAACATATAACCTAGGCTGCTGGTTAAAAAAAGGAAGAAGAAGAAATTCTGCAATGAGCATAATGAACAATAAAGAGTTTTTATCCGAGAACAAAGGAGAAACCCACAAATCTATTTAAATAAACTGTACAATGTAATACTACAGAACAATTTCTACTAAATATTAGAAGAATAAGCTGTTCTTACCCAACATGCAATTAAAGTTAAAAAAGTGCTTCAAAGCTTATAAACAAGAAACCAAGTGGAAATAGTGTCAGGCTTTTGATTTGACAGAAAACTAGGGTTTACTGTTGTCAATTAATTTCATCTCAAGATAACTTTTGCCTCAAATTATCTCTGAATCAGGATGATTATCTATAATACAATGAGAGGTCTGACTGCTATAATTGAAAGTTTATGTGGTAATTAAGTAGTCTCCTAGATGGTTTCTAATTTTTTATATAGCTGTTCTGTCTTCCATTTCAGTAGGTTGGAAGGTGTCATAAATGCTACCCAAATATGGTATATAGCTCTCTTTTCTATTCTTTTTTAGTTTACCTCATAAAAGAAGGTTCTACATACATAGGTGAAAAGATCACTGGACTTTTATCTGGTCTGGGATTACCACTCACTAGCTCTGTGACCAGGAGGCCTCAGTTTTCTATCTGCTAGGTAAGGAGGCTGGAGCTGGCTGGCTGCTTGTTGGTCTTTGACTGGAGTTTTTCTTAGTAGAAGATTCCCAAACAATTAGGCAAGTTCCTTACAACAAAGAATTCATGGACTATAATTCCAGGCTTACTTAGCATAGCATTTAAGCAGTGGAGATTTACTCTTCCTTCTTCTTCATGGCTGAAAGACCCGACAAATCTTGATACAATCAAAGGTTAATTTATAAGTTAATGCTAGTATTATTAATGAGCTTAGGCCTACCCTTCAGTTCTGCCCATTAAAATGAAGTTAAAAATTCAAGCAAAACAGACAGGTGAGGAATTTGACAAGAATCTCTGCCTTTGTAGGAACAGAAACCTAAATTAAGGGCAGACATCTAATGATTGAAGGATCAGCTTTATTAACTCAAATTTCTTTGACATACAAGTTCAAATAGATTCTCCATAGTTCCCTTCACAGAATTTTGGTACGAGGGTTCCTCCATGCTAAGTGAAGCTGCTGATCATATTATAACAGAACATACAGTTAATTCCTTAGAATTAGTAATGAACAACTTTAAAACTTTCCATTTTTCAATGACACACTAAAACATTTTAGTTAATTTGAAATAAATCAATAGTATCTAATACTCTGTTATCATAAAAAGACTGCAGAAATTACAAAAGAAAAAATAAAAAGCTGTACAATATGTTAAGTATATAATGAAGTTATCAGCTACTCTCAGGCCTTGCCATCATGGGAAAAATCTGTCATCTGTTCTATACCCTCCAAATAATATTTAAGTTAGCCCTTCTAACTATATGGAACTTTATACACCCTTCCAACATACTCCTGATAAAATAAAACCATGAAGAATATTCTCCCTGAGTGCATCTCAATTCTTTTTTCCATAACCTTAAGTTAGTCTCTAGTACATCAGTAAGTGATTATCTTCCAAGCACTCTCAGATATATTTTCTATTATATAATTACTGTATCAGGTTTGTTTTAATTTTCAGAATATTTATCTTTCCAGTTTTGGTCCAAAAACACTCCACAATCTCAAAATCTCTTCTATTAACCTATAGCAACAACTTCTATCTCTTCTATTAACTTATAGCAACAACTTCTACTCAACTACTATCAAGTCTTTCTTTTTGGGGTTCAGTTATCACTGTCTGAGTACCCTACATTCTGAAAGTGATTTCTATTAGCTGTGAAAAAAAAATCACATCACAACCAATCTTTGGAAATATCTTAATTATAAACAAAATCACTAGAAGGTTAATTCCTTACAACAATGTGAAGATTTTCATAAAATAACAAGCATAACAATGTATATAGTTTGTCATACTATGCCATCATCAAGTAATATACTATCCTCTTAAGTAGAAAGTCCATATAACTAAAGCTTTCATCTTAAGTGCCAATATGCGTTTTAAGCATTTTAAATAAATATACCCAACATGTTTATTTTATAATTTTCTAATTTCTTAAATATCCCTGGACATAAAAACTTTTCCTTGATGACTTAGGATCATGATATAAAATATTAACTGACTGTATGATAATACATTTTTGACTATTTCTTTTTTTTTTTTTTAATTGTGATTTGGGTGAAGATTTATAGAGCAAATTCACTTTCCATACAGAAGTTCATATATACTTTGTCTCATGTCATTGACCACAATTTACCACAATGCAACAGCTCCCCTCCCACTTCCTCCTGATAGTTACCTCTTCCCAGTGTACATCCCTCCATACAGCCCCGTGAGCTGTCTCCCTGTGCATAAGCAGCCT